TGATGATGAGAAAAATACAAGGATTGAGGTGGGCAAAAACATAGGCTAGCCTAGCCTATTGCGGACGCCTTTAGCCCCTTTTGATACATGAATTATATAGAATTTTTATAGAAATCTGTCCACTCTTATGGAAAATAAAGAAAATAGGGGGGAGAGGGCATTCCAAATGGGTCCACTTTAAAATGGAGTTGTTTTCCCCGGTTCCTTGCGTCTTTCTATGAAAATGAACTAGAAGGATATCCGTGCATTGTTGGAGAATTTTTTTAAAAGAAAAACGTTGTATGTACTACATGTTCTTACAAAATTAGGTAAGGCAATGAAAGAACTCAATAAAAAACTAATAAAATAAGATAAAATTATAAGATGATGGAACGACAAAAAAATTGCAATATATGGATGCCTTCAATACTTCTTATATATTGAAAGTAGTAATTACGCTTAGTGGAGATGACTTTGATAGCTTCCATTAAGTAGTTGAATTTTGTTGGATGACATGGCTATTAGTGAAGGATGATGTGGATAGTTAGTAGGAGATGATGTTGATGGCTTGCATGTCAAGATAGAATTTGTAGTAAGGATTAACTTTACAAGAGAGATATAGATATAGATATAGATATAGTTGGGATTGGGCCATTGGGGTGACGCTTGACGTTAGACAGAGTTTGTTTGGATGAGGACTAGTGAATAAAAAATGATAAGTACTGATGTCATCAAAGATTGCATGTGTATTTTATACGAGTATATTTGACTTGTCAAGCAGAGGACTAACACTAGGATTTTGTAGCATGTGTTGTCATAATGCAGTGGCTCCAATCCATGTTGTGAGCAGCAGAATGAATTCGCAAAATGTGGTATATACAGATGGCTTGTTTTCTCGAAAACATGATGGCAAGAGCTTTGTTGTGATTATATTAATAGAAGAACAGTTAAAATAGTTAAAGAAAAAACAACACGGAGGTTGTGGAGAGGGAAGCCCGGATCAAAGCTGGCCTGGCCACTACAGCAAGAGCAATACAGCACAGAACGTCAGAACTTGATGAGAAAAATACAAGGATTGAGGTGGGCAAAAACACAGGCTAGCCTAGCCTCCTGTATACATTTATATGTAGACCAAATTACAGATTACTGCCCTGTTTGCTTGGCTTATAAGCCGTATTTTTTTCAGCCAACAAACAATATTTTTCTCCCACAACAAATCAGCCAACAATACTTTCAGCCATGGCTTATCAGCGAAGCAAACATGGCATACATTTGGCTAGCTTCTGATTTACAGGGAGACACACGACAGGAGCGAGATATGCTTGAGAAGGAGACCCGCGACAATGGCGGTGTACTACTGCTGTCGGATGATCAACAGTAGCATCTATCTCCGACGCTAAACAGCTGATCGAATATATACCTGTCTTGTACTCTGTCTCGATCTGTCATCAACAAACAAATGAAGGGCCTGTTTGGAAGCCCTGTAATCAGTCCACAACACTTGTAAATTACAGCCCGTAATATTTTTCTAGCCCACAACGAAACTTGCTGCTTGGATGACCAGTCAGCCTACTAAAATTATAGGTGTTTTGGGCTGAAACCATCGGAAAAAAAAATAAACGCCCCAGGAGGCCCGGAAAGAAATACGACAACTATCGGCTTTCTCTCGCTCGAAGCCTCGCAGGCTCGCATGCTCGTCTCGGCGGTGGCGTAGCGAGTGCGGCAGCGACGTTGTTCCGAGCGCGGCCACGAGCGCACATGGCTACGGGCTCAACGACCACATCCGGGAGAGTGAAGGCGACGTCCGCGGCGACGAGGAGCGAATCTATGGCGATGGTGTCCAGATCCACGGCAGCGGCGTCAACTGGGAGGAGAAGCGCATCTGCGGCGATGGCGACCATGGCAAGCGCACCAGTTCCTCGATTCTCAGCAGGTACCTTCCTCTCCTAATCCCCATCTCTGCTTCTTGCGTTGGATGCTGGATGTGTGAAACCTATTTGAATGAGGAGCGGATCTAGGAAATAGGAGACCAATCGATTTTGTTGTTTGTAGCGTGAATGGTAGGCATTAGGATGAACACTGCAGTTAAGTTCCTTGGGCCCCTGGATTACTTATTTGTCACTGCAAGTTGAAAGTTGAAGTCCTAAAGCAGATCAATGGGTTTCGGTTGAGCAATTACTGTACTCTGATTTAGTTGCGATAGGCTTTGTTCTTGTCATCATTTGTTATGGAATAGTTCTGTTATGACCAGAGATTGCATCTGTTACCCTCTTCTTTGGACGTCTTTTAAGATAGGAAACCGAGCCATCTGCATTGTGTGCAAGCCATCTGCAGTGTGCGTGCATGACTGCGTATACGCATATGCGATTAGAAGAGGTGGAAGGGAAAGAAACTGAGCTAGAGTGCAAGTGCACACGAGGGCAGAATATCTGTCCTTTCTGACAAATGCTTGGACTGCTTTGCTAAAATTCATTCTCGATGAGTAGCACCCCTGTCCCCTCCTGCATCCATTTTTATTTTTCAAATATATATTATGAAGTAATTAGCTTGTTATAAACGTCATATATTTGAAAACAGAAACGGAGGGAGTATATGCAGTGGCCAGCTAGTTGAGCTAGCTATAGGCACATAGAATTCATGCAGAGTGGCCAGCTATTTTGTGCTACGTCCATTGCAGCCTGCATTCTTGTTGTTTTTTGCATTCACGTGTATAACTTCAGAGAAAGTGTGCTACATATAGGCTGTTTGGTCATGCTTTGCTTTGCAAGGTTCCCTTTTCTCAATTCTCATGGCCTGGTTCATTAGGTAATTCAGATAGATATGTCCAGTCAGTGGATATGGATTATAATAGAAGGGTTGAAACTGAATCTGAGCAAGAAGAAGAGAATGATGAAATGATGATGCTTGTTTTTCCGGCGCTATATTTAGCTTCTATCAGAACCAGAACAAGAACTCCATGTTACACTTCAAAGCTTAGTGGTTCAGAATATACATGTGAACTTCAACATGCTTCCTTGCCCCTTATTGAGGAGTAAGATATCATCTTCAAGACCAAAGCCAAGGAAATTGCCAACCGAGGGACTATAAAGAATTGTTCAATCTTCGCCACGCTCGCCTCAGGAATCACATAGAGCGAGCCATTGGCATCTTAAAGATGAGATTTCCTATCTTAAAAGTAGCCACACACTATCCCATTGAAACCCAAGTGAAAATTCCAGCAGCTGCAGCTGTGTTGCATAACATTATCAGACTCCACAAGGGTGATGATGAGTGGCTAAGCAGCCAAGAAACTCTAATTGACCATCGTAAGTTTGTGGTTCTTCCTACTGACAGTGAGGGGTACAAAGATGATGTTACCTAGTTAAACAGTCAAAGAAATGAAGCTAATGCTATGAGAGACGACATTGCGAAGAGGATGTGGACAGATTATGAAAGAAATAGGAGGCGAAGAGGATGAGGACAATTGTTTAGTTGATAGGGCATATTTATGTACTGATGCTTTAGTGAGAGATGGAAATTTGAATATTTATGTTGACTTATTTTGTAGAATCGCTGTAATTACATAGACACGCAAGTTTATAAGTTAGATATTTATGTTCCTTGACTTCTTCCTGGTTTAATGGTGATATTTATGTTTACTTGTAGATGCATAATGTTTAACTTTCCATATTTTATTTCCGTCTCAGATTTGATTTTTCGTCTCATTATTTATTTTGTAGCTATCATAATTGTTCTTTTGATCTCAGATTCGTTGACACAAAGAGCAAAATGGACCTCAATGAACTGTAAGTAAGTGTACTGACTATTATTTATGTCTCTGTGGTTTTTGGGCCTTAGGGCTGAAAACAAAATTAAAGTTCACATGTCAAATTCCTCATATGCTACTCTAAAATGATCAATATCTAGTAGACTAGGACCTGTGGTTTCTTGACCAGAGTACCTCAGCTTTGAGGTACACAATATACAATGAGATAACAAAAGCTGCACCTCTAGATCATGTGGTTAATGTACTTTAATTTTGTATCCATGAGATTATGCTTGCTGTTCCACCTCGTTTTGTTCACCACAGTCCAATTTATTTTCAGAAAGTGTTGCATTTTAATCTGTCCATGTTTTCTAGAACCAGCAGACAATCTCATTACTTATATTTCTAAAAGCGCTTATTTCTTTGTAATTTTAACAATGTTTCATGTTCAAATTTATAACTTTGTGCTACAGGTTAGAGGCTGCAAATATGTGAAGATATTGAAAGGTTATGGCCTAGTGTGAGTTCTGGAGAAGTTCTATTTGTGTTAATCTGATCAGTATCTATCTATGTTGTTCGTGTCTCTGCTAGTGCTTAAATTATGATGTTGGATGTATCTCGTCCTTTCTATGTGATCGCCGGAAGAGGTTTAATGCGAATGATTTTGTTTCTAGGATGATGTATTAGTCTCTATTGATATATTGATGGCTTGATGTGTTTATTCTAGACACTGATGAGATACTCAAATTGCTGCATTGCTCTTCTTTTTCCAAGATGTGTTTGTTGGCTATATACTTGTATCTGAACTTTGAGGTTCAGTCTTGCAGCAGCTGTGAACAGTGAACTGATATGAGAAGTGTCACTTGGTTTGAAGAAATGGGTGATGGTTTGTATAATCTTGTTTCTGAATTTGATCATCAGAATGGTGTGCCTAGTTACTGATGATAGGATCTTATATCGATCTTGTCCTTGTGGTTTATGTGATTGTGTATTTCCGCATTTGTTAAATTTTTAAACTTGGTGAGATTTGCAATGTAATTTGTTGAGAAATTGCTACTTGTGCCTTTGAGATAAAAGCACATCAGAGAAGCAAGCGACTCAATAGCTGATACAAGCCGGAAGCTAGCTGTTACCCAAACAGCGTTTTCCAAGTGTAAGAAAATGCAGTTGTATTCTTGTGCATAGTATATTACAGCCGGAAGTGATTTACATCTGAAAAACAATACGTTACTCCCCAACAGGCCCGAAGTGAAATGGAATGGACCCGATGGAGCGATCAGCGTCGTCGCATCCCCTGCGCGGGCGTCGGGTACGTGGCGGCGTTGAAGTCCCAGCCGTAGACGGGGCCGAGGCCGCGTGCCGTGAGCTCCCTGTGCTGCTGGCAGAGCGCGCAGGGCTCGCAGCAGAGGTGGACGAGGCAGTCGGCGCAGGGCGCCTCGGGGAGGCCGAACTGCGCGCGCATCATGGTGCGGTACGTGCATGAGTAGACCCACGTGCACTGCGATGCCGTGAGGAAGGCGATGACCGCGTACAGCACCCCGCTCGTCCCACACGACGTCGCGCCGCGGTCCACCATCTCCGCGATCCGCCCGAACGTGACGCGCGGGCACCAGTACGTTAGGCAGCCTGCGTACCTAGCACAAGATTGAGCTGATGATGTGCATCGAGGGTGGTGCTAGCTAGGCTTACAGATGTGGCAGTTGTCCAAGCAGTCGAAGAGGCCCGATGACCACCGCTGCCTGGCCGCTCCGGAGACGGGGAAGCCTACCACTGGCGCCGCCGCCACCCCGGCCGCCTCGTAGGGCTTAGCCGGATACATCTCCTATAACCAGTTGCTTCTGGTTGCGCTCGCGTTTAGCCTCGCCGGGAACGAATAGTGACGTACGGAATGGGCGAGCCTGCTGGGCGGGCCGGCTGCCGGCAGGCTGCAGGGGCGGGTCGATCGGCCTAATCCAATCCAATGGCCCGCGCCCCGCGCGGGCCGAGATCCCAGCCAAGGAGCGGCTGGTTTCGCTGACAGCCCACGCCACGGGTCGCCACCGTCGCTAGTGAGAACGATGGTGCTGCCTCAAGAATATGCCGCCCCCATCCACCTCTTTCTCCACCGACAACGGCACGTCGCCTTCCTCACATGCCCGCGTCGTCCTCCTTCCTTGAGGAGGCCATTGTCACATCTCACACTAGACTCGTGTCCAACCCTTCACCTGCCAAACGACATGGCACCGAACCCTTCACTTGACAAATAGAGGACGATTAGGAGAGAGAGAGAGATCGAAGAGGAGAGGAGAGAGATCGAGGGAGTGCACTGTTGCCACCATGGACCATGAGAAAGGGCTCGGCTAGATCCGTGAGGAGGAGCAGGGACCCAGCTGGATCTGCCCACCACGTGGGGAGAGAAAGAGGTGGGCAGTCGACGGTCGCCGACGCGGCTATGAGTACGGCCATATCTGCTCACCGTGGGAAGAGAGGTGGGCAGCCGATAGAGTCCGTGGGGAGAGGTGGGCAGCATCTATGGAAGAAAGAGGAATAGAGAAGAGTGAAGTGGTAGTTGGGGCAATGGAAGTGAAGGTGTTAGGGTTTGTTATATGGGCCTTGATGGTTGGGCTTATTATAGTTTTGTTAATATGATTTTCTGTGGTCCGTCTCTGTTAATATGCTTTGCAGTAGTGGGGTGTCTCCGAAAATTGCACCACTGGTTATATTTTTAGAGACCCTCTTATTTTTTTGTCCACCTCTGTTAATCTGTGAGACGAAGGAACACCTGCTTGCTACAATGCACAAAATAAACACTAGCTTAGTATTACCGTAGCCTCAGGTTGGGTCAGAGTTGTCAGTTGTGTGGTGACGCTACAGGCATTAGACAAAGGTTTGGTTGGGAGGTCGTAGAGCAGCAACGTGTGTCGATGACAAAAGAAACAAGGATTATATGAGAACTAGAAAAGAACGATACAAAGGTCGTGTATGAATAGTGAAAAATGGTATTGTCAAAGTTGATAGCTGGCATCAAACGTTACTTCTACCTATTAAAATGTACTTATTCATTGCTTAGAAGAGATTAGGAACCAAATGGCTTATGAGTCATTTACAAGGAACTAACTGTGTAAGTGCTTGGAGGAGTGTGTGTGTGTTTTTTTTCATGGTGGAAGCTTTCCTGTGCCTAAATACTCTTGCATTCCTCTCATTCCACAATTCCCACACAACAAGCGGGATTCGAGAACAGATTCTTTTCTTAGGGATCCCAGAGGTTTCCTCAGCGATATCCACCATTCAAGCACAGTGTCAGAGGGAGACCAAGCGTTTGGGCACACTTGTGGCCAAGTACTCCATTCCGCAACCATCAACCAAATGCGTCTTGAGTACCTGCAAGCCACCAGGTGGTGGTGCTCTGTTTCCATGGTGCAATGTACTTTCATAATATCGTGCTTATATTAGAAAAAAAAATATTGTAACTGTCATCGAATAAGAAAAAGTAATGATCATTTTTCCGAATCACGGTACAGAAAAGAGGAAAATGCGACAATCCATGCAAGTCAAGGACTTTAGGTAGACAAGTTTCACCGGAAGGAAAGTAACCTAAATGAGCTGCTCAGTTCACAAATAGTGATCAAGTGAATATATAGAGATATTTAGACACGTCGAGAGAGAATACAAATGATGTATGTACCATAACTAGAACGATGTATCTTCTGATTTACAGCGTCAGGGAGACACGACAGAAATGAGAAGTGCTAATTAAAGAGACCCGGCTACAATAATGGTGTTGTGTTGTCGGACGATCAACAGTAAGTAGCACCTCCGACCTGACGCTAAACAACTGAATATAACACACACACACACACACACACTGATGTGTCTTCTGTCATCAATCAACAAACGAAATGGAGCCGAAGCCGAACCCCGATGGATGGATGGATGGATCGATCAGCGTCCCATCCCCTGCGCAGCCGGCGCGGACATGGCGACGCCGGCAGCGGCCCTCTGGGCGTTGAACTCCCAGCCGAGGATGGGCTCGTAGCCGCGCGCCTTGAGCTCCCTGTACTCCTGGCAGAGCGCGCATGGCAGGCAGCAGAGGTGGACGACGAAGTCGGCGCAGGGCGCCTCTGGGAGGCTGTGCTCCTTGCGCATCCTGCCGCGGTACGTGCAGGAGTAGGCCCACGTGCACCACGACGCCGACAGGGTCTCGATGAGCGCGAACAGCGTCGCGCTCGTCCCGCACGACGTCGTGCCGTGGTCCACGATCTCCGCCGTCCGCCCGAACGTGATGCACGGGCACCAAAACGTCATGCAGCCTGCATGGATGCATGAGCAGAGCATGACATGACGGTGAGCTTAGCTAGCTCTAGCTACCAAGCACAAGAACAAGATCGAGCTGAGGCTGAGGCTGAGCATCGGAGAGGAAGGAGATCGAGGAGGAGGCCGGCCGGCCGACGGCCGTCCGTCGGTGCTTACAGTTGTCGCTGTCGTCGAAGCAGTCGAAGAGGCCCGATGACCACTCCCTGGACGCTCCGGCGCCGGGGAATAAGCCGGCCACCGGCGCCACCACGGGCGTAGTTTCCGGATACATCTCCAATAACCAGCTGGCCTGATTACGCTTGCGTTAGCTAGCCTCGCCGGGAATGGGCGAGCCTGGGCCGGCCGCAGTCAAGCTCTAGCTGTGGCGGCGGGTTGATCGGCCTAATCCAATCCAATGGCGGCAGCCCGCGCGCGCGCGCCGATCCCCAGCCAAAGCTAGAGGAGCGGCCGGTTTCGCTGGCCGGCGACTTGGCACGGCAGCAGCAGCGCAGGGTGAACGGAGGCAACCGGAGACTCTCGTCGACCTGCACATAAATATACGTCTCGGGATGCATGGTCCAAGGATGGATTGAGTGGTTGCCGGCCGGCGTGTGGTCGTGAGGTTTTCCCGGCGATGGTCGCGCGCGCGACACTCCCTCGTGTCTCTACCCTTTCTTTTAACGGCAGGAGAGCTGGACACCGAGGACATTACAACGGCGCATTCCCTCCGTTTTCTGCTCTGCACGTGTGTTCCTCTTCCCAGGGCAAAACAGCCTCTCTCTCTCTCTGCGCGCGCTACCTATCTAGTGATACCCCCCGTCAGGAAGCAAGTGTTGCTGGGCCTTATGGGCCGTGGGCCAAGGCTGCTCGGTGGCTGGGCGCCGGTGTACAAAAGGCACAAGCCAAGAGTACCAGGATATGGAACAAATTATCAGATTACCTTTTACCCTTACTAGTTACTGTTCTTCTTCCTCGAGCCTCTTCCTCTCTATTCCTTGCTGATTCCAAACCTCCCTCTCCCTAAGGTCTTGTATCCCTACTACTTGATTCGAGTTATCTGTTAGTCAATCGAGTTGGTTTGCTAACAATTGGTACCAGAGCTAGTCGATTCTCGGTAAAGCACCATGAATACTTCTGTCCAGCTTGTCTTCGACGAGATCCGCAGGACGTTCGCTGAGATCCACAGGAAGTTCGACGAGTCCGATGCTCGTTGGGACCGGCTCTTCATCGAGTTCCTCGCTGCGCCAGAGCAGCGAGCTTCCGCCGTGGACCTCTGCGTCGGCAACCCCGAGCGATACCCCACGGCGCAGTTCGATGCCCCGGTGGTCGCCGACAACTGGGGCGGGCTCTTCGACGGAGGCAATGACTCTGTCGAGCAGCACTGCGCAACCCATGGTCACTGACAACTGGGGCAACCTGTTCGAGCCTGACCCCGTTCTGGAGGAGCATGTCTACGAATCGGTTGACCTCTTCGACTCTGCCTCACCTTCGCCGATGTAGGAGCAATGGGATGGCGCTGTGGACCTCCGTGTCGGCGCCCTCGAGCGGATCCCTGCGGTGTGGTCCGATGCCGTGGTGGTTCCAGACAACTGGGGCGGGCTATTCGAGCAGCCTGCCATACCTCGGAGGAGCGCGACCTCGACCTCGCTGCCCGCGTCGTCCTCATGGGACTCGTGTCCGCCGACCAGATCCACAACGAGAACGGCCTCACCTCCACCGTTCCCGACGTGTTGCTCAAGTCCGACCCCACGCGCATCGCCCACAGGGTGCTCGACGTTGTGTCGTAGCTACGACGCGCACGTCGTCGCGCGGGTGCCGCGGAAGGTCGTCGCCAACAACCGCATCCGCTCCGCCATGGACTGGCTTGTCGCGGAGCGCTCCTCGCCTACGCCATCGCTGTTCACGCGGACGCGCTGCTCATCCTCTCCCCGCTTCCCTCCGCGCCGCCGCGGCTCAAGCTGTTGGCCCACTCCCACCTCGTGGGCGCCTCCGCTGTCCTAGGGGCGATCGCGTCGCAGAAGCACGTGCTCCGACGTGACCTGGGCCTCATGGATTCCGCGTCTGCCTCGGGGCTCCTCCAGCGCGAGCCAGTGCTGCTATGGACCTGCAACTTCCAGGCGCAGCTCGTGCTCGCCCTCACCATTGATGGGGATGCCGCGTCAGCGCTCTCCACCCTATTTGCGGGGGCATCCGCCGCCGCCGAGCTCGGGAGCCCCCAGCACGAGCTCTTCTTCACCGCCTCCAACCTCCACGTCCACCTCCTCTGCTGGGACGACAGCGCTGCTGTTGACAACGTCGTCGAGC